CTCACCAAGCCAGCTGTCTTCAGCAGCTCCTGCTTGGTGACCCACAGAACTGTTCTGCTCAATAAATGAGTCATGCGTTCCTCCAAGCCACCGGGCAACAACGTTGGATAGCCACAAATGCGCATCGCAAATTATCAGTACGTTGACTGAATGAAACCCTTTTCTATTTACATCATTAAATTCATTAGTGATGCTGCTTTGATTGCGATGTGAGTGCAGTCTATGGCTCCACCTATGTTTGGGAATCCAGCGATGGCGTTAAGTCCCCGTCTGATTTGGGCTCGTTGATGATGGTGTAAGGGAACTAGATGTGGGCCAGGGGAGTTATGGCATCCAACACTGCCGGCTTGATCCTGCTCAGTGGTGGCTGGAAATACTGCATATGTCTCCAAGCTCATGCTGGAATGTGCCGATGGTCAAAATCCCCGAATACTTTCTATTTGTAGTTTCACGATTCTACCGCTAGATTATGTGTGTATGCATGGTCAGAGGTGTGCGTATATTTACACACATTCCTGAGTATAAGTACAAGTTGATAAATTCCATACTTTGCGTAGGAATGTTCGTACGCACGCTCTGCGCACATATGTGTGTACCCACTGATGATAAATGAGGCCCCAGGAGATGGTTGTAGTTGAAAACACAGCACAGTAAATTGTAAGAGAGTGTGGTTTCGAAAAGTAGGCCACACCCTCACTAAAAGACAGGTCTCTGTGGCGCAATCGGTTAGCGCGTTCGGCTGTTAACCGAAAGGTTGGTGGTTCGAGCCCACCCAGGGACGATAGTTTTCTGCTTAATGAGAAGGTCAATGCATGAAAGTTAATTAGAGCCTTTGATTATAGTTAAGGGTGACCGAAACCTACAGCCAAAGTACAACTGAATAGTAAACAAACACTGCACTGGGATGTTCTTGAGTACGTGTTACAACTGAAGTTGCAGTTGTTTGCATGCTGTGGTACTTTACCCCCTATGAATCTAAAATTCAGAGATTTCATATCTGCTATAATTTCTGGGCTGAACTCTACAAGTTGATGGAAGGTGTAGAGGCCTTTTGTGTCTGTGTTTAAGTGAGCTCACTAAGACAAATTCCAAACATTTATGTTGATACAACTATAACGTATTGAGTCCTGAAATTTTAATCACATGTGTGGATCATAGACTGTATAACAGATGGACATGGCAACTGTCCTTGAACAGTGAAGTAAACCCAGCCAAATAAATAAAATGTATGCAGGTCATTAGGAATTTTGTTAATGTCCCCTACCCTGATCAGTGATGTAGTGGTCCATCTAAAAATAATGCTATCATTAAATAGTTGTCATAAAGAGTTGGACATGGTCAGCAACAATACTCAGATAGACTGTGGCATTTATAAGATACTAAGCTGGTCTTAAGGGGCGCCAAGAAAATATTCCCCACACCATCACACCCCCACCAGCCTGAATGTTTAATACGAAGCATGATGAATCAATGCTTTCATGTTGTTTACGCCAATTTCTGACCCTACCATCCAAAGGCGACCGCAGAAATCAACACTTAAGTTTCTGACAGAACTGTCACCCAATGTGGTCTTCTGCAGCTGTAGTACATCTGCTTCAAGTTCACTTGTTGTGCGTTCAGAGATGATCTTCTGCATACCTTAGTTGTAATGAGTGGTTATTTGAGTTATTGTTGCTGTTTTCCCACGGCAAGGTGTCAGAGGGTGTGGTTTGGAAAAATAGGCCACACCCCCACAGAAAGACAGGTCTCTGTGGCGCAATCGGTTAGCGCGTTCGGCTGTTAACCGAAAGGTTGGTGGTTCGAGCCCACCCAGGGACGGTAGTTTTCTGCTTGAATGAGAAGGTCAATACATGGAAGTTAATTGGAGCCTTTGATTACAGTTAAGGGTGACCGAAACCTACAGCCAAAGTACAACTGAGTAGTACACAAATACTGCATTGGGATGTTCTGCGTACGTGTTACAACTGAAGTTGAAGTTTTTGCATGTCGTGATACTTTACTCCTTATGAATCTAAAATTCAAAGGTTTAATATCTGCTATGATTTCCTAGGCTGAACTCTACAAGTTGATAGAAAGTGTATACTCCTTTTTCTGTGTCTGTGTTTAAGTGAGATCATTAAGACAAATTCCAAA